AGAAGACAAAGGTTTAACTATGTTAGAGTGTAAATAATATTTTTGTTGTCTTTTTTTTTTTTTGAGATGGAGTCTCGCTCTGTCACCCACGCTGGAGTGCAGTGGCTCGATCTTGACTCACTGCAAGCTCCGCCTACTGGGTTCACTCCATTCTCCTGCCTAGCCTCCCGAGTAGCTGGGACTACAGGCACCCACACGCCTGGCTAATTTTGTGTATTTTTTAGTAGAGATAGAGTTTCACTGTGTTAGCCAAGGTGGTCTTCATCTCCTGACCTCATGCCGCCCGCCTTGGCCTCCCGAAGTGCTGAGATTACAGGCGTGAGCCACCGTGCCTGGCCTTGTTGTCATCTTTTAAGATGTTTTGAAGCTTAATGTCTAAGGTGCCAAGTGTAATCAGAAGACGTAGCACAAACAGCCCTTTCAGGTACATTGCTTACAATTGGGACAGAGAATAGCTATAAAAAATGAATTTAGGGAATTACCTGAATCTGCCCTTTTTACTCCCCACTAATAGGTTAAATAAGATCTTCTCAAACTTTAGTTTCTACTCCTTGTTAAATACAGATTTAATTCTCATTCTTTCGATGACTTTTTAAATGGGCGCTAGCTGTGTCTTTTGGCTGCTTTGAAGGTTTTATTTGTCTGTAATGAAATGTGAAACAAAACTTTTTTCTTTTGTGTAGTCAAATTAATTTCTTAGCGTTGTAGATTTATCAGAGACATTCTTGATATAAAACCTAGTTTTGCACTGCCTTAGAACTACCAGTTATTTATAGTGTAAATATGTGCCAGAAATTGAACAGGGATGGGAAGGGAGTCTAAAATGTTATTTACGTTGACATAATTTAGAGTCATAACTGAGTTAAGGCTTCCAAATTCCTGATAGAAGAATTTAGTATTTTACATTGAGGTGTAATTTAGATTGATATTTGCAAAATTTTTAAATAAAGGTTTTATTAGATTATAACTTAAAATAATCAGCCCTGTCCCCTGATAAATTATAGGACAGTAGGTGGAAGTAGAATACAATAAGTGAAAGGCCCAGGAAATACAACCGGAAGTGTATATTGTTAGTGTGAGGAAATTTTGGATAATTGATATGACTAGTTATAAGATTTGGAATTTTACTTTGGCAAATAGAGACACACCTCACTGATGTTCCTTGGGTTAGGAAAAAAAATGTGATTTATCTTTGTAAAATTTGCCTTTTGGCGTTGAGTGTCTCCTTTTTCTTTACAAGATAGGAATTTAACCACGGTTACTTATTAAACAGATAAGGCATTTCAGGAACAAAGTGTCTTGAATTATCTGTTGAATAGTTTATATTACAAAGAGAAAATAATTACTATTTTTCTGGGACCTTTTTTTTTTTTTTTAACTCACCAAAAAGGAAGTCATTACATCCAAATTGCTAGGATCTTTTGACAAAATTAGCAATGTGTTTTCTTTGGTCCTTATTCCCACCACCCCTGTACTTAGAAAAAGAACTTACTGATTGTAACTAATAGGAGGTCTAACTACAATTTTGTGCACTTGGAAAATGGTTTAGAAAATTTTGGTAAGCATTAAGTGCTTCTTTGGAGGGAATGAGAAAGGATTATGTTATGAGTCACGCTGCAGATGATGACTAGAACAATGGTACCAGGCTTGGTAAGTGAGAATACTTCAAGAAAAGCAAGGTCAGTAAGAAGCTGTGGAGTGTGAGCGTTGTCTGTGTGTATCCTTTTTCTTTTTAGAGGCCTAAAGGATTTCAAAAATGGTACTGATGCCTTTTATGCCTGGATTCTAAATATAGACCATAATTCTTACATTTTTAAAAAAATTCGAGACCTGACAGAATAATTGGCATTTAGAATTTTTATAAATTTTATCAAGTGAATCAAATTGATAGTGTTACTAATATTGTTACCAACAGGAATCTTAGCTGTTAAGTTTAAAAAGCCAAATATGCAAGTTATTCCTTTATTCAGCTATGTTAAATCAAGAGACTTCCTAAAAGTAATCTTTAAAAGTGGGTACATAGGGAGATAAAGAATATGGCTATGTTAACCTCTGATTGTTATTAGAATGATAAAATTGTATGCCCATCTGCAGAATCAGATATTTTGTAAAACATATTATATTTTTTATTTATTACGCCCAAGTATTTTGAAAAGGATCTTTCTCTTAACTACTAACTTTACCCATTATTTATTATTAAGTAGTCCTATTAATATAGTCATATCAGACAAATGATATTAATGTGTGCTACCATCTGTGTGCGGCCATAGTCTTTTTTTTTTTTTAATAGACTTTACTTTTTAGTAGTTTTAGGTTCATAGCAAAATTGAGCCACAATCCTTTTTAATACTGATCAGACATCATGGTAGTGATTTTAAGGAATCTATTTCTACTTTCAATTGCAGTGTATATAGAAAATGTATTTTGCAGTCTCATTTTTTATAATTGTTTTTTCAAAGTATTACCATTTCTACTGAATATAATATGTACAGTTTCATTATGAAAGAATTTACTAAGTAACTGAAGTGAAAAAACAATGAGTTTTACTGATGCACTAATAAAGAGATGGCATTTTTTGAAATCTTTTTCATGTTGTGGGAATAGGAGTGTCAATGTGTGTCTTGTGATTTGTTATTCTGTTTTTACTGCTTTAGGATTGAAAACTTTTACTTACGTATTTCACATTTTGGCGGCTTCAAGCAGGGTGAGAATTTTTTAGGTCTGTTTTGAAAAAGCTGTGACACAAATGTTGGACATATACACATGCCAAAAATGTGTATAAACTGTTGGAACTTCAAGGAGACATTAGTTTTTATAGACAGCATTTATATTCTTGTCTTCATTGTTATTTAAAGTAACTTCCATCCTAATTAATGCATCAATTACTACTGAACATGACTTGCTTATAAATTCAAAAGTATGTGTATAATATTAACATTCACTTTTGGGGAAAAGTGTAGAACCCTTCAGTATCAAATTTCTGATTTTAAAATCAAAATTTACCATGCCTCATTTTTCTCCACTGTTGAAACTGGCTAGACTTTGAACTGGCACTTTTTATTCTTGGGAGGAAGGGTAGAGATTGTCTCAGGTTGGGCTACAATGAAAGAATCCAAGGCCACAAAACTTGCATTTTAAATTTCAATAAAATTATTTGCTTCATGTCAGCATTAAGAAATCTTAAAATTTTGGTATACTTTGCACTTTCAGAAAGTTATCTTAAGAGTTAATATAATCAAACTGCATATTGATATATAAATTAAGAAAAAATTCTTACTGTTTGCATTTTTTTTCTTTTCTTTCTTTTTTTTTTTTGCTTCCTACCGAAGTGTTTACATTTTGATATACTGTCAACTAGGGCCTAAATGATACTATTTAATTGAATGGCTTTGGTATGCATTAGTGATATTCTAAGAATATATTTAGTGTTTTTGGTGGGAGTATGTGGTATCTTTTTAAAACTTATTATAGAAAACCTTAAACATTTACAAAGTAGATAGAATCAGGTGATGAACCCTAATCTCTTGTCCTCACTCATTTAATATCATGTCTAGTCTGTTTTATTTGTTTTTTATTTTTGGGACAGAGTCTCGCCCTTGTTGCCCAGGCTGGAGTTCAGTGGCGCGATCTTGGCTCACTGCAACCTCCACCTACCAGGTTCCAGCAATTCTCCTGCCTCAGCCTCCCAAGTAGCTGGAATTACAGGCGCCTGCTACTACACACAGCTAATTTTTGTATTTTTAGCAGAGACAGAGTTTCACCATGTTGGCCAGGCTCGTGTCAAACTCCTGACCTCTCTCGGGTGATCCACCCACCTTGGCCTCCCAAAGTGCTGGGATTACAGGCATGGGCCACCCCACCCAGCTAGTCTTTTTATTTTATACTACTACATTTTAGTTTTCTCCCTACTTCTCCAATGATCATGAAGGGAATCCCAGATATCTTATAATTTCATTGATAAATATTTCAATGTGTAACTCTAAAAGAGAATACAAGTTATTTGTATTCCCTGTGAGTACTAGCTTTGTTGTGGAGAGGAAGTTCATGAGTGCTTGGAAACAGGCCTGTCATTGTGTTTTATTGTAGTTAATTTGCATTTAGAAAGATCAAAAGTGTGTATTATTTGGGTGTTATTACAGTAAATCTCAAAGGATTTGAAATGTTGAATCTGTAAATAACATCTCTGAAAACATTATGAATTACCATCATGTGTATGCATGAAGTTATGTGACAGTCCTCATTTCAGAGGTATCCTACAATTTGCTTTGTCATTGTTTCTGTCCCCCTCTATAATCTGTTTATTTAAATGCTGATCATATAGCATTTAGTTTCAGGTGATATTCTGTATTCCTCTATGTGTGTCATAAAAAGAAAGAGAAAGGTGAGAGAGAAGGGAGAAAGGGAGAGAGGAGGAAGGAAGGAAGGAAGGAAGGAAGGAAGGAAGGAAGGGGATATGGGACTGAGAAAGAGAAAGATCAGAACAGGGTAAAGACCACAGATGAGATGCCAGATTGTGGAGCTAAAACCTCACCTTCTCATTCTCTGACCTCTCTCTTGGCCTTTTCCTCTCCCCTTTTCTTGGTCTCCTCATTGGTTTGTATCTTCTTCTCTTGGCATTTACTGAACTTTGCCTGTCAAATTTAGGGTCAGGAAGATTGCTGATTTTTTCCTTAAAAGATGTTTTTATTATGTAGGAGTTGTGAGATAAAATTTAAGCAAACTATTTTAGGACTGATTTGTTGTGCTTTATGTGCTTTTATACAGAGTTTTAAGAACGTTTATTGAAAGGAATTCAAGTAGTTAGGTGCCTCCTATGGACTAGGTTGAACCTTTCTATTCTCTGGATGAATTTTATGGACGCATGAATTTTCTATAATCTTTGGGTTCACTTTAAGTGGATTTACTGGAAAATTGTATAATAATTTTTTCTTTTTCTCTGTGTTTGTTTTTGCTGTTTATTTACTGGATGAAACGGATTCTGTTCAAATTTGACTCTGCAGTTCACAAGATTCCTTTGCAGTTCACCCTTGGAGGTAAGAGTTACTCACTGACCTTAATATTAGAATTGGTAATTGAACACCATTATTGACATCTTTCATTAGGCATTTATTTGATAATTTAGGAGTGCTCATTTTGGTGTGACACATATATTCTTCAATAACAGTAATGGAGTGAGTTACTGCCCGCTTTTTTTTTTTTTTGGATAAAAGTTTCTGGAAGTTATATCAGTAGCAATTCACCTTCATGACAGGTTATTGCCTCTTTTTAAGTATATTTTCTTTCTCAATAAGTAGAGAGAAATCAGTCCTTTATTTTAAAGAGCCTTATTGTATCGTCATTACTCCTGTTTGTTTAACAGCAGCCTTATGTTCTATAAATGGCCATGGTATTAAAAGAAAGCTGGAAAAATCAGAGGCAAAGGCTGTCTTCAAGGAAGTTTCAGTTAGAGAGAGCACTTTAAAATCCATGAATGGACAAGAGAAGAGCAAAGTGATTGAGCTGCTATTATAACAAGGCAATATTCTGGGTTCTTCATTCACTTTTTCATTTAATCCTCATCATGGTTTTCAATGTAAAACTGAGAATCCAGTGATAAAATTGTGAGATAAAGAAAAACTATTAGATATTTAGAGAACTAGATATCGTTATGAGCTGCAGTTGCAGAAGAACTTGTAGATGATCATTGAGACTTGGAAAAGAAAGTAGAGAAAGGGTGGAAGCAGAGTTATGTGAAGAGGTAGTGGGACTTAGAACCAAAACCGGGTAAGAGCTTGCCTTCACTTACTAACCATATGACATTGGGTAAATCACAACTGCCCTGAGCCTCATTTTTCTTATCTTTTAAATGCAAATAATAATTCCTCTCAGATGAGGTGATGGAAATGGGAGCAGTTATAAACTATGCTAGTTACATCATGGCACTATTTTGTGTTCTCCTCTTAGGCTTCAGCTCCACGCGATGAGACTCTGTTCCTTGCCTTGCACTTGTCCTTCCCTTTGTGCCTATTGTTTATTTCATTTTATGCTTTTCCCATTCCCAACTTGTTCAAATCATATTCCTCTTCAGGGTTGAGCCTCAATACCGTGTCCTTTCTGAGACCATTTCTGCTTTTATAACATTTTATTTGGTTATTGAGACTATTACTGCTGATAATGTGGTGTGGCCCACAGTGGCACATTGGAAACGTGTGGTAGCCAGCTGAGTGGTCACCAGGAGAAATGGAGCAGACCAGTGGGGGTAGTCCCATCCAGACTTGGTCACATTGTCTAAGTATCCAGGATCAACGGGGAAGCAGAATGGTATAGTGGAAAGAGCCTAGGCTTTGAAATGAGAGAGGCCTGAGTAGCCCACGGGCAAGTCATTGACTCCTGAGCCCTTTTTCCTGATCTAAGAACGGAGATAATAATACTTACAGGGATATTAAAATTAAATGAGATGATCTGTGGCAAACACTGAGCACAGTGTCTGGCAGATAGAATTTTAATTAAGAGTTAGGTGTAAAGTGAAAACCAAACCATAAAAAGTTGAAAACAATATAAGTTTTATAGCCTGCTCTATAGTTATGGAGGCACTTTCTCACTTCAAAAGCAATGGAAAGTATCAAAAAACAGAGTGAAAAAATTAATTTGATTATGTAAAGACTCATAATTTTGTACATGAAAACAAATGTAGCTAAAAGGTAACTTGGGTAAAGTATGATGAAAGGGTTTTACTTAATGTAATGATCTTTTAAAAGCAATATGAATTTCTTTTTCATAAAATTTGGTTGGATTTTTATCAGGTAATTGATAAGATAAAATACAAATGGTAATAAATGTGTGTTAAATGTTTAATCCTATTAATAATAAAAGAAATGTAGTGTAAAATGACAGTGATCTACAATTTTTTTTTTAACCTATCAAGATATCTTATTTTTTAAGTGAATGCTTGACAAGATATAATGAGATGGGATGTTTATGAACTTTCTAGGAAGCAGTTTGGTCACATACACTAAAAGCTTTATGTACATCCATACCTGTGGTTGAGTAATTGTATTCCAAGAATCACTGTCAGAGAGTTCATCAAAGATGGGGACAAAACTTGCATTAAAATGTTTATGACAGCATTATTTATAACGGTAAAAAACTGTAAACAATCTAAATGTACAACAGGAACAGGTCAAATAAATTATGACACAGCCATATGATAGACCACCCTACAACCATTAAAATGGAGATTGTGTATATGTGTTCATGAGTATATATTGATGAATAACACATATAAAATACATTTGATATATTGAGAGGTAAAAGCGTGATGTAAAATTATACATGCAGATCTCAGTTTAAAACAATTTAAGTGCACAGAAAAGTAGAAAGGAGCTGCATAAAATGTTAACAACTACAAAGTGCTGTTTTATCCTTTACTTTTCCAGTAAAGGGCCCACAGTAGGTAGAGGTGCATTGGTAGCTTTTTGGTAATGCTTCTTGTAATCAGTGTTTGATAGATGTACATCAGGGGAGTCTCTTTGATTTGATGTGGAAACAGCGTCTAACCTTGGAAAAAAGGGGCTGGCAGGAGCTTAGATGAGATAATGTTGATAATGTGTAATGCTGTGCTCTCATTTTAGCAAAAGCTTAGAGGAATGAACAGGAATGAGGGTTTTTAGCAGAAGGCAATTAGGCTGGGTTGGCTTTCCTATACAGGGACCAATAAGGAGGCTTGAGCTTGATGGCCACTTTACTGGGGCAAGTAGCAATTTAAGGCTGTTACTCACCAATGGCAAAGATACTTCTCAGTAAATCTTAACAGTTGACATCTCTCAAATGTAAGCTCATTGAGAGAGGACCCTGTTTTTCTTGTTTTCTTGTTTTCATTCTTAGTATATGTAGAACATAGTAGGCACTGAGTCAATAAATGTTTGTTGAATGAGTGAATGAACAAATGAATGAATGAATTTTGTGGGGCTGAGACTGAGAGTAGCAGTCTTTCATCCATAATTTGGCAAGACTCAGCTAAAAGTAGACAAGTTTCAGTATTTACATTTTAGTATGGTTAACAGTCTGTCTTCCCAGTTAGATTGTAGCTACTTAAGATTGAGAGCTTTGTCCTTTGTAATCTTTGGATGCTCTCAGTTATAGATAGGTCTTGGAGTGTACTTGGAGTACACTAGCTGCAACTAGAGTATATAGAGTATACACACACATATATATATGTGTATATATATATTTTTTTGATACAGAGTCTCGCTCTGTCACCCAGGCCGGAGTGCAATGGCACAATCTCAGCACATTGCAGTCTCTGCCTTCCATTTGAAGCAATTCTTCTGCCTGAGCCCCCCAAGTAGCTGGGATTACAGGCGCCTGCCACCATGCCCGGCTGGTTTTTGTATTTTTAGTAGAGACAGGTTTCACCATATTGGCCAGGCTGGTCTTGAACTCCTGACCTCAAGTGATCCACCCGCCTCGTCCTCCCAAAGTACTAGGATTACAGGTGTGAGCCACTGTGCCCGGCCACAAATATATACTTTTAAATTACATATTACTACTCTTGTTAAGTATTGGGAATATATGTGTGGAAGCTTCAATATTTGGTGAAAAGTAGAAGGGAAAGTATCCAGAGTTTAATGATAGTTTCTGTCTGCTTTCATCACTTAATGATCTGGAGTGGTATTTACCTTGGTTAATTATCTTTTTTATTACTGGGTTTATGACATTGGAGAGGAAGAAAAATCAAAATTAAAGATGACCAATATAAGTCTCCTTTCTTGATGGGAAATATTTTGCAGGCTTTCTGTTGGTATTTTTCTAGTTTGCAGTTCCACAGGGCCACTTGAGGGCTTAAGTTAGTGGCAGCTACCCTTAAGTCTTCACTAGCAGCACTAAGCCGGGGGCTGCTGTTCCTTTGCCACCACATAGCACCTGAGAGCCAAAGCAAAGGCAAGGCAGGAGAGTGTTGGGAGTCTCTGAATGTTTAATTTTGCCATTAAGCTTATGACTTAGCTGGAGAAGGAAAATTACAAATATGGTCTATACCCAGCACCTTCTTTAATTTTGAATAGAAGTCAGATTATTCTGGCAGAGATAGTAAAATACATGAGAGTTGCAGTTGAAAACAAAGCTGACTTTAAACTTCACTTTCTCCACAATGACTACTATGAGTGAACCATGTCCCTTTGTTGTAAGTCCTAAACAGTTAACTGCCACATGAATCTAATGAAATTGTCAGGTTATAGTAATTACATCAGTAATTTGATATGTTGTCATTTGAATGGACCATATGTGGAGAGTCAGTTACTTCCCTCTGTGGGGCTGACCCTTTTACATTCCTGTAAGCTGAAGACTAATAGAGCTCATTAAGCTTTATGGGAAAAGAGCTTTTATCACCTCGTCAAGTCAGGCAACATATTTCCATTAGATCCCTAATTTCGGGTGGCTCTGTAGCTGCTGATATGTACTCCCCTGCTAGGCTTACACCGGACCCTGGCCTTAACAGACATTTTTATTGACATTTCTAAGTCTGAATTACATTTTGTGTGGCACCACTTACAGATGTCTTCAATTAAATGTAGGTAAATAAAAGGGATTATATATCAGAGCTCGAAAGATTCTTGAATTTCTCTTCTGAGTCAAACTTTGCCAGCCAGTCCAGTAGGGCGCAGTCTCATTGTCACTTTTGTAGGTAGAGAGCTATAGGAGAGGCATTTATAACAAAAGTTAAACCAGGTGTGAATGTAGGTCACCTAGGTTTCTCTTCAGGTGTGTCCTTCTGTTCCTTCATTTCAAAATTTTCTGTATTAATAGGATAATAGCTTACTGATAAGTTAGCACCTCTAGTGTAGATACTGTGCTTTCCACTCTCCTTATTTTAATTCTTACAGAATGTCAGTGAGGTAGATATTCCCAATTTTCTTATGAAGAAAACTGAACCCAGAGAGGTAGACTAGGTAGGTGCTCAATATCACAGCTACTAGTATGTGACAGTAATCACAAGATAGGAAGGAAGTAGAATGTGGTTAAGATTCTAACATTACATGAAGTGATATGATAGTAT